GCCACCGAGACCCGGCTGCTGATCAAGGCGCCCACGCCGCCGCCGTCGGTGACGTCGACCGGAAGACGCGATTCGACGGGCAGCAGTAGTTAAGAGTGTTGTGAATTGTAGTGCGCACGTCGCATTCAGTCAGCATTGTAATATTATGATGTACGGACATCATCGCGTCAATCGCGTGCGACCGGAACGGAACCGTCGCCGAGACGATGAAGATGACGACAACGGACGAACACTCCGGCATTACGACATAAGTGTCAGTAATATTGTTTTGATTGTATATTTTTATAGAGATTTTTTCTAATTTTATGTTGGTCAGTTCTTTCTTTCAATTACGCGAAATGGGGATTTCATTTTGTTTTTCGTTTTAATATATTATATAAATTATGTAATTGTGGTTCATTATTATTTGTTTGTGGTTTAGTGCCTGATAGTATTATTCGAGTTGTACACGACCCGGTAGTAGGTACCGAGAAGTGTTTGGTCTGCCAATCCAATGGTATCTCGCGGTTGGGGCACGGGTTTGTAAGGATTTTTTTTTACTCTGCGTACGTAATACCTACGTTTAGCTAATATGTAAATATACGACGTTTATCGTTGAAAGACAATCTCTTCACGGGTTCATGCTCAGTTAATTACAATATTTATTCTATTTCCGACTATAATGTAGACCTTTGAAATTTGTACTTTTTTTCTACGTTCATCAAATCATCGTCACGATTTTACTTGATTATTATTTTTCTTATTTATAAATTGTAAACCATAAAATTTGAAAAAAAAGACTGAAGTTTTGTTTGTATTACCGTTAGTTTTATAAGTATTATATTATATTATGCAATCAAACGCGTGTTGCGACTGTGTTTATGGGACACTTAATATATATAGTGAACCCGGCGGATGGCTTGCAAGTTGGTTAAAAAAAAATTAAGTGAAATTTATCAATACTCGGACACCTTTTTGATCGTCGTGTAACAGAGTGAATGTTTGGTGTTTTTTTTTTTTATTTTAATTATAAAATTATCTGACTGTTTATTATTATWATATTTTTTTTTTGTATAATAATTATTGTATTATGAATAAACTATCCATGTGTATGAAATTTGGTCTCTTTTTTTTGATCCGTTATCGCTCAATTAATTTAAAGTAACTACTCTTTATCACATTCTTACAATTTTTACAAATCAATTTTTAATATCCTACATTAGGCTCATCCTACCATGCTGTAAATACCTATACTATAGTTCTATATTGACCACTGCATATATATATTATACGTAATTGGTGGTGGCTGTGTATGATAAATGCAATGTACAATAATTAGAAATTATTTCTCTTAGTATTTGCTCCAATCGTCAAACACGCGATTCCCTGGATTTAGAGTTCGTAGTTTTCTGTTCAAAATATT